AAACGACCTTTCCGCGCATCGAACTACCGTAACTACGACGATGCCATCATGCGGTCGTCTGAAATGAGATGCGCACTGCTGGATTTGCCGTCAGTTTTCAACAACCTGCCAGGACGTGATACTGCCATAATGAAGGTGTGATACCAAACGCAACCCTCTACATGCAGTGTGTCCGCCATTCCTCTGTCCCCTTCTCCATTTTCCTCTTGGTGCCCATGTATGCATGCGATCTTCGTAGCTAGAGTGCATTTCACACTCACACATCATTGCCATGCATGGATGGTGTTTAGGCCAGCATGGAATGCTGTGCCCGTGTCGTGTCTCATGCATCATCCCATGCGTTGTTGGTGGTAAGGCCAGCATGACATGCCTTGCTCGTGTCGTCTCTCATGCATCATGCCATGCATGGCTGGAGGTAAGGCCAGCAAGACATTCTTTGCCATTTACACCCACATGCATCATTGCATGCATGGCTGCTTGCAAGGCCAGCAATGCCTTGCCATTCATCTCACACACATGCATCAGTGCATGCATTGCTGGTTTTAAGGCCAGCAAGGAATGCCATGCCATTCATTTCACACACATGCATCATGGCATGAATGGCTGGTTGTAAGGCCAGCAAGGAATGCCATGCCATTCATTTCACAGCCATGCATCATTGCATGCATGGCTGGTTGTAAAGCCAGCAAGGAATGCCATGCCATTCGTTTCACAGCCATGCATCATTGCATGCATGGCTGGTTGTAAGGCCAGCAAGGAATGCCATGCCATTCGTTTCACAGCCATGCATCATTGCATGCATGGCTGGTTGTAAGGCCAGCAAGGAATGCCATGCCATTCATTTCACACACATGCATCATTGCATGCATGGCTGGTTGTAAGGCCAGCAAGGAATGCCATGCCATTCATTTCACAGCCATGCATCATTGCATGCATGGCTGGTTGTAAAGCCAGCGTGGAATGCCTTGCCATTCGTTTCACAGCCATGCATCATTGCATGCATGGCTGGTTGTAAGGCCAGCAAGGAATGCCATGCCATTCATTTCACATCCATGCATCATTGCATGCATGGCTGGTTGTAAAGCCAGCAAGGAATGCCATGCCATTCGTTTCACAGCCATGCATCATTGCATGCATGGCTGGTTGTAAGGCCAGCAAGGAATGCCATGCCATTCATTTCACACACATGCATCATTTCATGCATGGCTGGTTGTAAGGCCAGCAAGGAATGCCATGCCATTCGTTTCACAGCCATGCATCATTGCATGCATGGCTGGTTGTAAGGCCAGCAAGGAATGCCATGCCATTCGTTTCACACACATGCATCATTGCATGCATGGCTGGTTGTAAGGCCAGCAAGGAATGCCATGCCATTCGTTTCACAGCCATGCATCATTGCATGCATGGCTGGTTGTAAGGCCAGCAAGGAATGCCATGCCATTCGTTTCACACACATGCATCATTGCATGCATGGCTGGTTGTAAGGCCAGCAAGGAATGCCATGCCATTCGTTTCACAGCCATGCATCATTGCATGCATGGCTGGTTGTAAGGCCAGCAAGGAATGCCATGCCATTCGTTTCACAGCCATGCATCATTGCATACATGGCTGGTTGGAAGGCCAGCAAGGAATGCCATGCCATTCGTTTCACAGCCATGCATCATTGCATGCATGGCTGGTTGTAAGGCCAGCAAGGAATGCCATGCCATTCATTTCACACACATGCATCATTGCATGCATTGCTGGTTGTAAGGCCAGCAAGGAATGCCTTGCCACTTTCACAAACACACATCATGCCATACATGTGCAACTTCCCCTATCCCTTTTTATTTCAACGTCCAGGCTGAAAGGAACAAAAACCCTGTTCTCACGGCGACAAGCACAGCCATGACACTTCCACATGTTGTTGATGGTCGAAAAGCGGAGAAACTCTGGCAAGGGCTGTTGGAGCAACACGGCAGCACCATGAACGATATCACAATAGCCCTCGCTGAACGTGGCATTCGAAATGACATCGTCCATGTAAGAAAAACACCTCACCTACCATGACCACCATTATGCGCAGTGTTATTCTAAACTCTGTCACTTTTATATTGCCGACGTTGAAGTTTGTATTTCCCGAAGAATGAAACTTTTGCATTCGCCATCCCAAACTTTCTCGTCCTATGCAGGTGCATTCTGCAGTTGCACTCCCAAGGAATGATTTGAACGATGCTCACTATGCAAGGGCAACCGTGGCTTTCCATGGGAATCCATGGTTTTCCTATGTAGCTCTGGACGGGAGTATGGTCAGTAACCGTACTCAAGGGGGGTCAGATGTTGTGTATGCCCAGCTCCTCATGCTTTTCCATGTCCAAACCAGAGCTGGACGGGAGATAGAGAAACAGCCACTCGCGTACGTGAAGCTCCTGGACGTGAGAGGAGAGGACGAAGACACAGCCTTCGTAAAATTGGCCTGCCGTCGTAGGGCTGATGCCTATCGCGTCGTGCACATTGATGCCATCTTGAGGGCTGAGCACATAGTTCCTCTCTTTAAGAGGACCACGCTGAAACTATTGAACCCGTATGCGTGGTGATGAAAATGCTTCACTGGATGGTGCGGTAGCTTCTGATACTCTATACCAGGTACTATAGTGCAGGTTGTATTTGGAAAAGTAGTCGCATTTATTACGACTCACTGTCTATAGCCCTGCCCCCCTTACCCCGGTTGTTTCCACCTTGTTTCCACCATTCCCTAACAATGCACCTAAATATAAGTAGCAGAAATAATTATGTAGTGAATTTAACGTCCGAAAAATCACAACAGACAAGATCAGAGTGTTTAACTGCTTTAGTTACGCATGCAAATCAACCCAATAGAATATGTTGGTGTCAATATAAGCTGTGTACAAAATTCATGCACATAAGAACAAGATATTTCAATAGCAATCATCACTGTACACTGGAACGGAGATGCTCTTGTGCGGGTCACGTATCTGCATTTGTGCCAAACCTTCTCAAAGCCGCTGCTTCTCGGAAGGAGTATTTCGAAAACCTAAACTTACCGAGCAGTAGGTTCGAATCGAATGTCCAATAGAAATCATTCGAAGGGTCTCAAAGGAAGTTTCGTGGATCTGGTGGAAAGCGTTCGACCAATAAAATCGCTCGCGAGGATCTGGTCGAAACTTCGTAGTTGATGCAGCCCACTGATTCCCGAGCCGCGAACCCCGAAATGCTACCTGCGGGTAAGTTCTGGAGCGTTACTCTCTCGCAAACCCTAAAAAAGCTGCCACCCCGACCCCACGCATTTTGGGATGGGCGGGTGTGGAGTCAATACCGAAAGAAGACTCTAGCGCATTGCTCCTGACCGTCGGTTCCGGTGTACGCGTCGCTAATCAAGGGCCAGCCGCTGCGGCGCTGCCGTTCGTTGCAAATGCGGATAGTACGTCAAGAATATCGAGTGCCAGCTCAGGGAACAGGCCAACGCGGCAAACGATGCAGCGCACGTCACCAGTCGTATTTGATACGCTTTCACCTCCGTCGCCTAGGGCTGAACCTGTACGGAGGCGGCGCGTAACAAGCATGGATATGACAATCTCAAGGGAGTTCCCCATCGCGTCGCCTCCCCGTATGCAACGGCAGCAGCAGAACCAGAGCCAAGTGGACTCTGTGAGGTCGCCCAGCCCATCCCTTTCTCCACAACGTCACTCGGTTGACAGTAACCCGGCATTTCGCTTCCGTCACCTCTCGCAAGCATCGCTGCTTGAGTACGAGCTCTCGCAACAATCAGTGCAAGAAACTACTGGCGCATCTGTTGAGGATGACTCATGGATTCCGCTTGCCTCTCCGGTTGCGCAGTCACCTAGTACTGGTCGCACCTCCGAGGTTACCACGAGCCCGAAGACGTCGCGGAACACCCGGTGTGGAAGCCCCCCGCTTGGAAATCGACGAAACACAAGCAGGCGAGAAACCAGCCCCACCTCGTCGAATTCTAAAGTTGTCGCCAACACGGTCGCGAATGGTGCTGCTCCTCGCAGTGGTCGGGAAGCGAAGCCCAACCTCAGCTCAGCCTCCCCTCGTGTACTGACAGCACGGTGTGCGATGACGACGGCGAAGAATAAACGTGTTACATTCATGAACTACGTGGAAGTTTTTGAATACATCTCTTAGTTAGATGGCCTGTCTGAACTACCGTAGGAACTATCAGATAAGATTTCATGGCCCTGAAATACCGTGGGTGGTTGTCCAGGATTGCCTGCCTGCTTCACCGGTACATATGTAATAGCATTTTCTTAGAAAATGAATACCCTTGACAGGTTCTCTTAGGCATGAAATGTTGACAGCATACCAAACCAACAAAAGCACATCCTTCCAAAAACTAGAATAAACGAACGGCAGTTTCTGCTCAACATAATGAGACTCTCCAGGCCAAGAGAGCAGCCCCTAGTGCAGCCTCCACCTGGAAAGGGGTTAAATGGATTAAAAATAAAAACAGAAAATCAAAGACATACCGTAAATCCAGACACATTCTAGATGAAAGCAACCTCCTTAAAGCTGCGGTCTACATACCAAAGGGTATTTTCTGGGGGTATTTCGGGTGCACACCCTAAGACGCAGTCTGATTTGCACACGAAATGATCCCTTTCCAGAAATGAGAGCGCGAAGGATTCAAACACAACTGGCGAATCCCGCCAGTTTCGTGCAAGGTTTGGTTGGGGGGGTGTTTTTTTCGTGAGGTTGGGGTTGTGGTGGCGATTTCGCCACAACCTGCAACCAATCGAGGTTGGGGGGTAGATTGGCGCGAAATTTGTAAGCCAATCCTGAGCAGGCCAACTTTCAGAGGGGGGGTTGGGTTGTCAGAAAGCAGTAACTGCACCTCGCCACCCAAGGATGGAGCGAAGCCCTGTGCTACCTGGTTTTCAAGTGATAAACCAGGTCCTCCCGCAGGAGGTATGTAGGCGACAGCTTTAAATACAACATGTATCCCAACATGAAGGCCACTACCCGCCCAATGAGCATACCTGGGGCGGCTTGACGACAGCAGAGGGCAGTAGCATGCGGATTTGGTGGTCAAACATGCGCGGGATGTTGGGCGGCGAACTGTCAGTGAGCACACCGCCTGCTGTGACTATAAGGAACGGTTGGCGCGACTCTGCGGGTGCACATGCAAGTGGCGCAAGAGTGCGTGGGGGGTTTTCATTGAGTGACTGAGAGGGAAGGGCGGAATGCGGCATGATATGATGGACATGGGAATGGGAATGAACACAAGCAGAGCAGCCAAGAAATCACCAGTCTACCCAATAGTAAGATCGGAATATCACCCTTAAGACACTTGAACCAACGAGCCTCACCGGGGAAAACCCTCACCTGGGAAAACCCTCACCTGGGAAAACCCTCACCTGGGAAAACCCTCACCTCTCACCGGGGAAACCCCTCACCAGGGAACCCGAGTTTGCCGGCGACAGCCTATAATTGCAACGTCTCACTTGCTCTTATGAAGAAGCACCTGGGAAGCCACCTTGTTCGCCTCAAAGTCACGAGCCCCACCTGGGAAGCCGAGTCGGCAGGCAACAGCATGAGCAGAAAGCGCCATCTCCTCCACTCCATCTGTAATGACAGCCATGGCTGCTGCATCGCCCGCTGCTGCACATCCACGCACACAGGGGAAGAGCGCTGCTATGCGCGCCCATGCTGGGTCAGAATAGGCCCAGCTGATCGGGGGAAAGGGGGGGAAAGGGGGAAGAGGAGGGCGGAAGGAGGGGGAGAGGGGGAGGGGTGAAAGAGGGGAAGTGGGGAGAGACGTTGAGGAGAGGGGGGACGAAGAGGAGGGGGAACGGGAACGGGAAGGGGAAGGGGGATCGGAAGGGGGATGGGAAGGAGGAAGGGAAATGGGAGGAGTTGAGAAGGAAGGAACCGAGGACTGGGGACAGGAGAGGTGTGGATCAGAAACACAAAAAAAACCTGGGATTCGCACCAAATAATTTCTCGCACACCCGCTTTCCGACCAGCTCCCCCCTCACCCAACCAGCTCCCCCTCACCCCAAAACCCAGCAACAACCCTCTCTCACCTGATAAGCTCGCTGGGACTCCCCAGCCCCGCATGCCCCAGCACGGCCTCTGTCAGAGCCGTCACGCGCCCGCGCCCATCCCATGCACGCAGCACAGCAGCCAACGCCTCACAGCTCATTGCATACCCACTCCCCTTGTCCCCCAGGAGAGGTCCCCCTCCTGACGCCCGTGCCTCCCTGCCGTCTGCTGCTATCCCGTACGCAATCGTTCCCGTGCCTGAAATCACCACCACCCCACCACCCGACCCATCCACACTCCCTTCCGCTGCTGCTCCTCCACTTCCTCCTCCTCTGCCTCGTCCCCCTCTGCCGTCCCCTCTCCCTCTGCGCCTGCTCTCCTCGGTCTCGTCAGGGAGAGTGCCGGTGGCGGTGGTGGCAGCGGCAGCGGGAATGACCCCGAGAGTGGCACTGGCGAACGCGACTAGAGCGTCGTTGCGGATCAGCAGGCGGGAGGGCGGGAGGTGGGGGAATATGGGGCTGGAGGGGGTGGGTGGGTTCAGGAAAGGGGGAAAGGTGGGGGGTGGCAAGAAGGGGACAGGGTGGAGGGAAGGGAGTGTTGAAAGCAGGTGGTTGGGGTGGGGGGTTAGGGTATTTAGGTGGAAGCTGAAAGAATATACGTGTGTCTGTCTGTGCGGCAGCGGCAGCGGGAATGACCCCGAGAGTGGCACTGATGAACGCGACTAGAGCGTCGTTGCGGATTAGCAGGCGGGACGGCGGGAGGTGGGGGAATATGGGGCTGGCGTGGGGATGGGGGAATGGGTTGTGAGGGTTGGAAAAGGTTTGGGACAAGTGGCGGGTAGGTGGCGGGAAGAGGACTCGCGAGGTGGTGGTGGAAGGGGAGTGCTGCGGAGATGAGTCGGTGGGGGGAGTTGAAAGGAGTTTGTTCGGTGGGGAGTTTGCATGCGGTTTCCACCAAGGTTGCAAGAAGGGATGCTGGGAGCAGATACGTGCATCTGAATGAGCCATTCTACACACTCGTTTTTAAACGTAATATCATGTATGGTTTTTATGAGCACACCAGCAACGCATCTGTGAGTTCATCCAATACCCACCCAAGCCCTTGAAACTGCCCCACCTTCTTCCCCCTCCCGCCTCCCCCCCCCTCCCCCTTCCCCTCTCCCCCTTCCCCCCACCTGAACCATGAGCGCACCAGCTGCATGTCCGCGGGTCTATCCACCCCCGCCATCCCCACACACACCCCCGCCACCTCCCCCGCCGCTACCCCCGCCGCCCCCAGCGCCCCCTCCATCGCTGCTTGCAGCGCACTGCGCGCACTAGCCTCTGGGAGGGGGAGGGGGGAGGGGGGAAGAGAAGGGGGGAGGGGGCCGGGGAAGGGGAAGGGGAAGACTTTAGGACGTCTTGAGAACAACGCCCCCTCCATCGCTGCTTGCAGGGCACTGTGCGCAATAGCCTCTGGGGGAAGCGGGAAAAGGGGGAAAGCGGGGAAGAGGAAAGGGAAGGGAACGTGAGGCAGAGGGGAGGGGGAAAGTGCATAGCTGTATCCTTCTCCAACCCGCCTTAACCCTTGGTATCCCCCCCTTTCCTCGGTAACCCTCATCCCTCCCCTCGAACCCTCCCCCTATCTCAAATCCCTGCCCCTTCCCCAACCCCTTGCCCCCATTACCCCCGCCTCATCCTCTCCGCCTTACCGCCCACACTGTTTTTGTTTGAGCTTCCGCCGCTTCCGCGCCCCACCACGCACTCGCGCGCACCATCCGCCGTCAGCTCCGCCGGTCCACCAGCTTCCGCCATGCCTTCCGCCATTTCTTCCGCCATTCCTTCCGCCTCCGCGGGCGCAGCGGCGTTTGCGCGCGAGAGGTCGAGGAGGACGGCGGAGGTGGAAGATGCGCCGCCGTCCATCCCCAGAAAAAGGGCGCGCGATCCCGCCGCCATAGGTGGAAGCGGATTACCCGTGTCGGAACGCGGAGAAAGGCGGAATTGGGGGGGATAGCGCGGACTTTGCGGCGAAAGAGGCAACGCGCGAGACCGCGCTTCTGATTCGTACGAGCTACGGCATGCGATTAGGCGGAAGAGCAATCGTATTCATTAGTAGGGACGAAAAGCGGTACACCAAGGTTCCTGGTTCTTATGGGATGCCTGCACACAATTTGGTGGAATTGATGGGAGGGCTGGGAAACTAAAACCGCTGCAGGTAGGTCCGCTGTTGGAACATATGTTTGGACAGTGCAGTGGAAAAACCACGGACGAATGTACACATTTTAGTGACTGTTTAAGCGTAGCAAGAAAATGATTTGTGCATAATTTACCACAGGGATGTATTTCGCAGAACCAATGTCAGGACACAAAAATAAGACTTAACAATCACAAGCTAACAAGCTACCTAACTAAAACTAAGGACCTAAGGATCACCAGTCCTCTTCACCACTCCGAGTGACACCAGAGTGGAATCAAGCGAGGAGAGCGTCGCTAAATCATCCTCCGCATACTCCGTAACCACCTCCACTCTCTTCTCAGCCTCCTTCCCCCTTCCAAACAAGCTCCCGAAGCTTGGGAATGCCACCGCCGGTAGTGACGGGATGACAGGGAATGGCGAGGAGGAGCCGGGAGGGAGGAGGTCTTGGAGGAAGGCAAAGGTCTTTCGTAGGTCGGCCGGGGTGGCGGCGATTGGCGAGGAGAAATGGCATGGGATGATGCGGGTGAAGGCCCAATCAGATGTGATGCTGTTGATCCATGCTAGAGCCTGGTCGGGGGGGGGAGAGCGGGGGAGGGGGGGAGGGGGGGGCGGGGGGAAAGAGGGATGTGACATGAGAGGTTGGAGGGAGGTTGGTTGGTTGCTAATAAGGCACTGCAAAACATTTTGACAACATTTCGACGACCAGCACTTGGCATCTGACACACACCACATGCCATCGACACATGGACCAGCATACACATCGGACAGACAATAATACACTGAACCCCCCCACCCCTCACCTGCGCAGGGACTTTGTCAAAGACGAGAGTCTTGACGACGGGAGAGACTACAAGCTTGCCACAGATGCGCTCAAAGGACTCCTCGGGCTCCAGCAGGTTGCCCGGGCCAAAGAAGAGAATCTGCAGCACCATGCGCTGCCACCCTGTTTGGGGTAGAGGTAGGGGAGGAGGAAAGGGTGGGGATAGGAGTAGATGTAGGATCAGAGGTAGGGGTAGGGTTAGAGGTAATTGGCAGCACTTTACACTGCCATGTTGACATGACTTCTTGTTGCTTTCGCACCGACAGTCAACTGTGCTACATCGCACTCCTCCATCCACCCTAAACTCCTCTGTACCGCCCGCTTTGGCATCTAGTATCTCCCGCTCTGGAACAGCACTCGGACCTACTAGCACCACCAGTGCTCCTCCCCTTAACCAGCCCACCTCTCCACAGCCCACCAACCAGCAGAACCCAGCCCAACCGAGCCCATCCCAACCGAACCCAGCCCAACCACCCAAACCCAACCTACCGAGAGTTCTGAACTCCTCCGTATCCTCCACCTCCACGTCGGGCACATCTCGTCCCGCGGAGAGCACGCGCACGGCAAGGCCGCTACGAGCAGCGTCCAGCAGCGCATCAGGGCGCACCACCTGCGGGGGCTCCCTGGGCACCACGATCACTGCGTCTGTGAGCAGCAGCGTGCGCGAGGGGCGGTGGAAGAATGCAATCTCCACGTATGGGCCGATGCCTGGTGGGGCGGGAAGGGAGGAATGGGGTTTTTGGTGGGGAGGAGGAGGAGAGGTGAGTTTGTGATTGGTGGAAGAGGACAACCTCTGCTTACAGGCCTATGCCTGGGGGGACGAGGTTACGGGGGAGAGGAAGGGCGTGGTGAGGAAAAGGAGACGGAAGGCGAGGTGAGGTCTGAGTCCACACAAAAGAGGGACCGGGGAAGGTGATCTCCACACATGAGCTGAGCCTATGCGGAAGGACAGGGGGTGGGGTGGGACCGTGAGGGGGTGTATATCGGATAGAGGGAAAAGGGGAAGGGACTTTACAGTTGATTCAAAAGATGGACGACAGTAGAAGGCCACCTCCAACGCATGGGTCTATGCTTGAAGGGACGATGGGCGAGAAAATGGTAGGGAGAAGGGGAAGAGGGATGACAGGAAGTGGAGGGAAGGTGGGAGGAGAAGAGGGATAATCCTAAGTAGCAGCAAGGGGGGAAGGTCACTCGGTCATCTTCACCCCACTGCCTAGCTAATAATGCTACTGCAATTCTCAGGAACGCAGCTCTCCTTCATCTAACCCTCCATTGATGCACACACCAACTTCAGGGCAACACAACAATCTTCGAGTCAACCTCCAAGGGGTGACTATTCAGTCAACTCCAAACCAACAACAAACGGAATGGACCCCTGCTGGTAATCCCGGCCAATCCTCCACCCACCCACACGTACCAACTTCAGGGGACGCAAAGATCTTATAATCAATCTCCTCGGGCCACTCGTCCGGCTTGGGTCCGTCCTCCGCCAAAACCGTCCCTCCAAAGAGCCCGAGGAACGGCAGGGGGAGGTTGATGGGCCAGCTCCACTGGCGAGGCGCCACCCACGTGCGCGCCTTGGGGAACGCGCGCGCAAACGGGCCTGCGAACACCTTGTGCTCGTACGCAAAGGTGGGCAGCACGATGTGTTCCACAGGGAGGTTCAGATCCTTGAGGAGCTGGTGGGGTGGTTGGGTTGAGGGTGCGGAGGGAGTGGGGAGGAGAGGGAGGGGAATGAGGGGAGAAGGGAGAGTGGAGTGGAGAACGGAGAATGAACGCTGTTGCCTTCTTGGTTTCTAGATGATGCGTCTCACATGCACACTGGTTTCTCTTCAGGTTTCTAAACCGCGACTGATCTTGAATAATTCAGAAGCAGTACGCAAGAGGACACTGCTCCTGCTAGTCTTAGTACTTATGTACGTGCTAGTTTCAGTGTTTATTCGCAGGCAGTATTGTGCACGTGTTGGTCCAATTCGTAGCCATACCTTGAGGCACTCCACAGTGGGGGCAATGGGCGCGTGGACGAAGAGGCCCCCGGACTTGAGCTTGATAACCGTCATTCTGAGATGGAGACAGGACCACGGTCATCCAGACGAAACAGCAAAACCAGAACACGAGAGAGGGTGCGAGAGAGCAGGAGGGGGATTTAGAATATCGTTCGAGGTTTCTCCAAGCACCTTCAAGAGAGTCTATCCTTGGAAAAGGAACTTGGCCGGAAGGCGAAGCAGAAGAAGGTGGAACGCAGCGGACGCGCATGTATGATGTTGGTTCGGTGCGAGCTAACAGTTCAACAAGCCTCAGTCGCGAGCGGGGGCGAGAGACAGGTGAACGATCGCAGTTGGAAGGAATGAACGCAAGCGACATACGTTTGTTACATTGAAGGTAGTCACATGTGTGTAGCCAGATGAATGTGGCCACATGTATGCAGTCGTCCCATGCGTCACATGTAGACACTACCCACATCCTCTCTGTACCCATCCCGTCCACCCGCCCCCGTCCTACCCTTCCGTTCCACACTATTTCAGAGGTTCTTCTGAAACCGAGTCAAAGATTGCACCAACCGCACCCCACACCGCCCTACGTAGTAGCAACGCACCTGACGTTAGTGGTGACGTTGCTGAAGCCCAGCCCTTGCTCCTGCTCGAAGCACCAGATGCTGTTGCGATCCACCTGGCGGTGGCGGAAGAGTTAAGAGTGGGTAACCAGGATGAAATGCGGGCGGAATGGGGTAGGGTGGTGGAGGGGGGAGAGTTGAAGGAAAAGGGAGGAAGGCGGGGGGTGAGGGGTCGGGAGGAGGGCGTGCAGAGGCGGAGGAAGAGCAGGAAGGGGAAAGTGGAGGAGGGGTGGGTGGGCATCATATAGATCAGGAAGGGAGTTCGGGTACGCGAATATATGGGAGGTCGAATTGAATAAGAATGATGGAGGGGAAAATGACGCCGAACGAACCATAATTTTTATAACTTGCCTCTCACATTGAAATGACTGGTGAGCGCCACGCATTAACAGGACATTGGAGAAACACGTGAACTTCTTCTGTGAGCGCCTGATAGAAAAAAAGAACGCGTTTCTTACCTCATAGCGATACGTCTTGCGGCTGAGGAAGGGACGCAGCGGGAACGGGAACCCCGTGATGCTGACGTACCACTGTCGCCAGATCGACGAACTCTCGTCTTCCTCCTCCTCTTCCTCCACCACCTCCTCCTCCTCAACCTCCGCCGCCCCCACCTGCAGCGTCAAGCGCATCGTTCCGATCTGATCAAAGAACGAGTTTTTACCCTTCTCCTCTACCTCCTCCTCCTGCTGCTGCTGCTTGTCATCCTTAGGGTTAAGCGACCAGCGCATTGTTCCCAGTTGGCCGAGGATCGTCTTGGACTGCGGCTCTTCTTCCTCCTCTTCTACCACAGCCTCGCGCTTCCAGGGAAGTTTAACTCCCAGAATTGACTTCCCTTGAACCTCTTCTTCTTCCTCCTCCTCGTCGTTCTTCTTTTCCCATGGCAGCTGAACTCCCCACTTCCCCTCCTTTGACGCTTGGCATGGAGCTAGAGAGGAGGGAGCAGCGGCACGGAGAATGGCGCTTTGAGAAGTAGGAACAATGCTGATGGGGACTGGGGATGTATTGGTGAGGGAGAGCGGTTGCCGCTGCGACTTTCCGCGCGATACTTGCGCGGTAGCAGGCGCGAGAGCGGAGGCTCCAACGAGGGATGTGGTGGAAGCCATTGTCGCTGCGGAGAAGTACGGTAATTAACAGACGGAAATGTCGATTCCGCCTCGATAAGACTAGTCCCTGAACCAACTCCTGGCTGGACCAACCTTGCTAAATAACCTCCTGCCTTGTACGTCGTGCTGTGCAGAAATGGCAATTTCTAGGATGGTCAGCAAGGGCATGAAAAGTTCACCTCGCCAGCGTGGCAGAGTGTGATTGAGATTGTAACAAACGGACCACCACTATTCGTGGTTCGAGGTGGAAAAGCCGTTGACAAAGCACGAGCTTCCTGAGGGACGGGACCAGTGGTGGTTCCAAATGGTGTGGTGAACGAAGCTACTGGCGTGGAAGGGCCTCGCAAATGCCAGGTCATCCGAAATGTTGGATCCGAAGATCATCAGCGAGATCCACGCAACCAATTGGCTCCCAACCTTTTGGTGAGACCTTGACAGCACATCGTGGCTTTATAAAAATAGTGGTTCAAAATCGTGCAAGGGTGTTTCTACCACAGCATTTACACTTTTGTAGCTGACGTGGATAGGGAAACAGCAACTTCTAGAAAGCGTCGGTGTCCAGTAGCTGCGCTTCTCTACATCTCTAATCAGAATAGAGAGCGACTCAGAATACGGCAGTGCAAAACAATTTTCATACGGTCGCCCATAAGAAAAATCAGTTTAACTGCATACTCAAATCCACATCACGCGCACCGATTCCACCGTTATCAGACAGACCCATTATATCAGCAAATGCTTGCTTCTCCATGGTCATAAGAACTCCTTCGAACCCTCCATTCTCCACTCCCCAGCCACCACCAACTCCATTTCCAGTCCTTAGACACAGCCGGGACTTGGCCTCACACAGAGCTTCTTCGCCAACATGCCATACAAACCGACATGCAAGAGTGGCTCTATTGGTGCAATCAGCCAGGTCCTCATCCTCCATGTCCTCCCCCTCATCATACTCCATCACCTCATCATCATCTCCCTCATTATCTCCAACACCCTCCTCTTCCTCATCCCCTCCCGCACCACCCCACTCATCCTCACCCGCTACATCACCATCCCCGGTCATCCCACTTGACCTCATCTCAACATCCCCACCCGCTTCTCCACCAGCCCCACAGCCTGCCAGCGCTTCAGCTCTTCTCTCTACCTGTAATGCCAACTCTCTCCGAGCTGTCTCATACCCCACCATGTACAGCGATGCGGCTTCATACAGCATGTGCTGTGGCCGGAACGGCTGCTCAAAGGAGCTTGCCCATCCTTGCTCAAGCTCCTGTCGGTGACATCATGATCATGGTTGGCATCATGGTTGGCATCATGGTTGGCTTCATGGCTACAACAATGTTGTGTGTTGGTGATGAAAACGATGCACAAGGAAAAGCTGAAGGCTGCGTCTGAGGCGCCTTCTCGGGAACCAAAAAAAAGCCCATCCCTTTCCCTCCCTCCAACTCTTCCCAACCCCTCCTCCACTTCCCTCCCACCCTTCCCTACTCACCCCCACTCCGCCCTCCACGCACCTGCCGAAACTTGTTTTCGATCGCCGCGAGCCTGGCTCTCCGAGCCCCTCCCAGAAGCGTGGTTCTCTGCCGCACCACATCGCGCACCTGCACCTCGTACTGCCCCAGCAGCCCCTCCCACTTGGCCCGACTGGCAGCACCGTTGGGGTCCTTGCTGGCGAGCAGAGCTATGCCTACATCTGGGGTCATGGCGCCTGTGTCAAGGGGGGAGGGGAGGGAGATGAGGGGAGGAGGGAGGGGGAGGGAAGAGAGATGGGGGGAGGAGGGAGAGGGAGGGGAGGGAGATGGGGGGAGGAGGAAGGGGGAGGGGAGGGAGATGGGGGGAGGAGGGAGAGGGAGGGGAGGGGAGGTAAATCGTTATGCGAGTGGACTGGTGGAGTGGGGGGCAGGCGGCAGGTGGCGGTGGTGGATGCGGTACAAATGAAAGTGAATTGATTCGCATCGACTAAAGTGCACATATTCGACATCAACTAAGCTCACGTGTGTTAAGTTCACCACCAAACACTCCCAAGCAGGTGGTTGGTTGGTACCGGTACGAGCAGGTACCCATCGTGTATGCACTCTTTTTGAGGCGCCTCAAAAAATAGACTCTCAAGCAGGTGGTTGGTTGGTACGAGCAGGTGCCCATCGTGTATGCACTCACGTACCACATGCACTCCATGAAGTGAAGAGCCCGACTGAACTCCAAATCACATGAATTAGTGTGTGGATCATAAGGTGGCTTCTACATTATAAAACCCAGACCAGACACTTGACTCAAGTCAGATTATTCCTTGGTTCATGTGTGGAGTGGAGCATACGTTGTGCCCTCACGCAGTGCACATGAGTGCGCACATGTACGTACGGCTGGTATGCACTTACACACCTGAGTGCACAACATGTTTTTGCCGCCCCTCCTGCACAGCGTCAAACATCTGATCTGCCCCATGAGCGATGTGGGCAGGTAGCACGTGCACAAACCCAGTTCAGGTATCAACTCTCACCTGCATATGTGGGACCTGCATGCACACGCATACCTGAGTCGACCACGTGTTTGCGCCGCTCCTCCTGCACGGCGTCAAACATCTGCCCCATGAGCGACGTGGAGTGGTAGCATGTGCGCGTGGACGAGCGCATGAAGTGCGGGTAGCTCTCCACCTTGTACCGCCCCAGCCCCTCCACCTGCGCGCCAAATGGGGGCGATGGGAGGATGGGGGTGATGGACATGGAGAGAAGGTACGAGCGCATACAGTGAGGGCAGCTCTGCACCTTGAATCGTCCCAGCCCCTCCACCTGCGTGGCAGTTGGAGATGGAGGATTGGGGGCGACTTGATGGAGGTGATGCGACGGGTGACGAGAGGGATGAGATGGAGGCTTCAAATTGCAGATAAGGGTGGGTTTTTTAGGTCTGAAGCTTTTGAGTTCACAGCTGATATGTGGGTTTCATGCCATCGTAGGTATGGTACAAAATGGGAATACCATTCGATTCGAAAGGAGGCAGGCAGGCATGTCGGCTCTTGGGGCCGAAGAGAATGTTTGCATGCACACACACATCACACACATCACACACATCACACACATCACACACATCACAGATAGCAGCTAACACACAAACAGCTCCGCCCGATCCACACACACATACACTCAACGCCCACTACTCCCCTCCAACCCCTCTTCTCCCCCCCTTACTTCCTCCTTCCCCCTCTCCCCACCACACTAACCCACCACGTGGCCAGTCTTGGCGGAGTCAAGAGCCAGCTTGTAGAGTACTGCGAGCTGCAAGCACAAACCCACCCTATCCCCGTCCCCATTCCCATCCCCATCCCACAAACCCACCCCATCCCCGAACCCCCATCCCCCTCCCCCACACCCACCACGTGGCCGGTCTTGGCGGAGTCAAGGGCCAGCTCGTAGAGTGCTGCGAGCTGCAGGCACTCGGGGGAGTCCGGACCCAGAGGCGAGCGGTCCATGTGCGCTAGATGCAGGTTGCCTGCTGTGCCCATGTGGAAGCTGGTGAGGGGGTGTGTGTTGTGGGGGGGTTATGGGGAGGGGATACTGTAAAGGGCCGTGCAAGGGAATTGCACGTTAAGAAGAGACCGGTCCGTGTGCGCTAGATGCAGGTTGCCTGCTGTGCCTATGTGGAACCTGGTGAGGGGTGGTGGTGCGCTGCGCCGTGGGGATGGTAAGGGAATGGGGATTGTAATCATTGTAGTACAGAGAGTGATCCATGTGAGGGAAGGGGGAAGAGAATATCATGTGAGGGAGAGCGGGCCGGTGTGCGCTAGATGCAGGTAGCCTGCCGTGCCCATGTGGAACCTGGTGAGGGGCATGGTGCGGGAGGATGGGGGGGATGGAGGGAGGGTACGCACGGTGCGGAGGGAGGAGGTGGACTCACTAAGCCTGCTCACTATCCCCTCAACGGTTTCCAAGCAGATTTGCCAGGGAATACATCCCATCCCAAGCAGTCTCACCCCCCCCCCCACCCTCACCCCCCCCCCACCCTCACCCTCCTCCCACCGGGTGTACAGCGGCCCTTTCTGCTGTGCAGCCGTCTGTTGAGAAATCTGGAAAACAAGCAGATGCAGCCTGACCTGACTTTCCCCTCTGACGTTGATGGTACTTGTGAGAAATTTCAAAAGTACCATCAACGTTTCTGAAAAAAAGCAGATGCAGCCTGACCTGACTTTCCCCTCTGACTTTCCCCTCCCACCAGGTGAACATCTCTTTCTGCAGCCGCTCAGCAGCGGATGAGCTTCAATAAGCATTGTGGTGGGCCAGCCCTTGCCATATGACATGACCCAGCATACGAAGCATTCCCACCCTCCTGCCCATCCCAATCATTCCCCCCAGTCCAACCCAAGCATCAATAAACCAGCAGCGGATGAGGGCTCTCTCCCGCACAGCAGGATCGCATGGGAGTGGGGGGAGAGAGATTCACTTCACATCCCCCAGTCTTCTATAGACAAACGCATCACCACTAGTCCCCTCACCGATTGTAGAGCTCTCCGTCCAGCCAGCAGCGGATGAGCGCTCTCTCCCGCACAGCAGGGTCGCATGGGAGTGGGGGGAGGGGCATTCACAAAGAATGCACGCCGAGGTTCCCCCCATCGACTGCAGACATCCCACCCACCATTCATAGCATCCCCACCAGTCTTCCTCACCGGTTGTAGAGCTCCCCGTCCAGCCAGCAGCGGATGAGCGCTCTCTCCCGCACAGCAGGGTCGCATGGGAGTGGGGGGAGGGGCTCCGAGACGGAGGGGCACGCAGGCGGCAGGGGACGCTCGCGAAAGGCGCTGAC